TTTTTGCAGAAATGTGTCCATATTTTCAATGTTTGTTGCTATTTGAAAGATGTTTTTGGGAATACAACCTCTGGGCTGCTGCAGCAAGCAGCCAACTACTGTGCACACACTATAAAAATATAGCAATCAATCCAAATTACTGTCTCGCCTCCATCTCTTTGTGAGCACATCTGTGCTATGTACACATTCCGGCTCTCTTGCAAACCAGAAAATGAAAAAAAAAAAAATATATATATATATATATATATATATATATATATATATATATATATATATATATATATATATATATATATATATATATATATATATATACATATTATATATATATATACCAATTGCTTTGTCTATTAATTGTACTAAGGTATAGACGTCTTTGTTTTTGTCTTACTAATAACTAATATAGAACAGTTCATGCCTGGATTTTACTTGCTAGATCTTCAGCTTTCTTATTTCAGTGGCGTTCTCCAACTTTGGTTTTAGCGCTTTTTCACAGGGTACAACATGTTTTGCTTCTCCGTTTTTCTCTTTTGAAAATAATAAAAATGGTAGCAAGGCTGTGCTTTGATTAGATAATTTCATTGCAAACATCATATTTGACAACACTGCCAGCTATTTTGCTTTTTGATCTGTTTGAAATGAGGAACCTATTGAGTTAAAGAACACAACTTTGGAGGAAAACGTTGGCATCATAACTGAAATAAAAAATAAAACTGAATCATAAATATAGTTGAAAAGAGTCAATTTAACTTTTATTATTATGTATATGGAATTCCAATATGTAAGCTAATGATAAATGACAGGTTTACATTTTTTTACCTTACATATATAAAATGTTTTTATAGATTTCACAAGATAAATCTATAGTGGAACATCTACATTAACAAAAACATTTACACGGCCAAACATACATCTTGAATCAGTTAAAAGGTTGTAAATTGCTTTCGAGATCAATTGGGTTTCGCAAGAGTGTGGCTGAGTGTCTCTAATTTAATATTTGCTTAGTCCAAGCGCTCTTCTGGGATACATATGTTGCATGATGCGTATCATTGTGCCTGAAGGAGAAGAGCAGTTCTGTCAAGTGGCCCCATTTAGCCTTGCCTCACTGTTGTTTGGTCAACCCACTGTGCAACAATGATGCCTTCAGGTTATATCAGAGAGAAAGTAAGGATGGGAAGAAAGAACAGACGACAAGACTCTAAGAGTCACCTTAAAGGCACAGCTGAAGACAAGAGGAGAGCATTTTGCAGAGAAATCTGTGCTTTTCCATTTGCACCGAAGAGGGGGGAAGGAGTGTACACAAAGATGCAAACAAGGCTAGCAAAAAACAGATTTTTTCCTAGATGTTTAAACAGTTTGTGTAAAATATTTTATACCACCTTTGATAAATACACAACATTGCCTTGTAAAAGTTTTCACATTTTCTAACATTACAAAAACTTCCTTTCATATAATTTGATTCGGGATTTTTTTAATGGTAATATGTCAGTTTATAGTGCATAAATGCAGGGTAAAATAATTAACAATAATTTTTTTCAGTACATCTCAAGCTCCATTGGATTGGATGGGTCTGTGCACAACAATTTTCAGTAATCCTCTCCAGAGATATTCAGTCCATCTGGACCCTTGCTTGGCAACTCGAGGATATTAACATACTGGTTTCGAAGCCCATCCCTTTAGAAATTGGTTGTATGCTTTGGATTTAGATGCCTTTAACTGCAGGTAATTGGAAGTACTGGAGGCATTTGAATAACAGCTTTGTGCATCTGAACACAAAAATTGTATTTTTCTTAGCAAAGTGGCCCTCAATTTGATTCAATGGAAAATGTCTATGAACATGAGTTTTTGAAGTGTCACGTCTTTTTAGATGCGCTCCAGCGTAAGTCACTGCTGTGGATAACAACCTGGCTGTGTCCCCTGTGACATAATACTTTTTATTTCCCCCAAAGCAGATTTTTTTTTTTTCCTGTTAGACACATGAAATTGCTGCAGGATTACTACATAGATGTTTAAATTCACAAACCCCGGAAAAAACAATTTGCCAGAAGTCATCGGATGCGTTTGCATCAATACAGGAATGTTTCATACTAATAAGATGCAGTTACGTGTATGACGTTACTGTGTCAACCAGAGGTAGAAAGCTGAAGCAAATCAAACTGGCTGCACTGGTTTTAGCCGAAAAACCCTCTATTTCTTTCTTTATTTTGTTGAAAAACGAGCAAAAGGGCAACATTTTGGTTTCTGTGGATGGGAAATACATCCACAAGTAAATAGAAAACACCTGTTATGACACAAACTCGAGATCAGTGTGTTCAGGGCTTAAGGGTGAGGAGTATCATCTCTCATTAAAGAACTATTAATACTGGAATCCTTTGTTGCTGAAATTACTGTCATTGGCACTGGTTTGCATAGACCTTCTTAAGGGAAGGTGTGGTGACAAATAAAATGGCACTTTGGTGTGAGTTTTAGCTCCCTAAATGGCACAGAGCACAAATTTTTTCCCCAGAGAGGATACTTTAGTGCATTTTGGTTCATGAAAAGGCTATCCTTGTGGAGACTTAAAATTGACTTCCATTCATTTCAAACCAATTTCTACAGCCTAGCCATTACCCTTAACCTAACCATTATGGGTTCATACCTAAAGCTATCCCCATTCTAAACTCAATTCACTCCTAAACCTAACACCTAAGCCTAAAACAACATTGGTCCCCACCAGAACACTCGATCCCCACAATGTGCTAAGATTTATGGAAAGTTGTCACCACCATGTAAGAAATACACACCCACCCACACACATACAAAACAGTTAATTCTTTGTCTTATAAGACCAGATAATTTAGTTTTTCATAGTCAAATAGGCTGCCATGTGCCTTTTATTAATCAGTGGCTCTCACCTGACCACTCCGCCATAGAGGCCTAATTGATGCATTGCCGCAGAAGTGGTTGTTTTTCTAGAGGATTCTCCATGGTTGTGCTCTGACAGAGTAACCACAGTGTTCTCGGGCATCTGTCTAAAGGCCCTGTCACACCTTAACGATTTAGACAGCATATGCCTGACGTCATAAAATCTGGCAAAAATGTTGTCATACGTTGGATAAGTTATGGGTATGTTTTGTATAAGTTATGAGCACGCTGGCACACTTCGACATACAGGGCGTGTATGTCTCAAGTACCTCGAGAAATTTTGACCATGCTTAAAATTATGCCAGCGTATGCTCATATGTGGGGAATACATTACAGGTAAGTTATTTGATCGTTGACATACGTTAAGTGTAAGTTACTTATTAGTCGTGGTGTCTAGCTTATCCAAAACCGATGAGTAACTTGTGCATAACTTATGCGTAAGTTATAAAGAACTTATCTCTAACGCCATCATAGGGTGAGTGAGAAGTTAAGTGTGATGGATCCTCCCTGCATTCACGCCCATGACCAATAAACTTCCTGGCAAACATGACCCTGAATCTGCTGTGACTGCAAACCTTCTTTCTTTCTTTTTCTTTTATTTATTTATTTATTTATTTTTTTTTTCTTTTTTTTGCAGGCAGTATTCAGCAGCTAGGTTAATACTCCAATTAAAGACTCTATGCAAGCAGTGCACCTAAAGGAGGGTTGCTGCCCCCTCAGGACACTGGCTTGTGACATCTCATGGGTATTACGCTGCTGTGCCTTATGCACATCGTTACATATACGCTCTGGACTCGTTATGAATACGCTTTGTATATGCCCAAAACTGAGAAAATACATAGAAAATTCAGCTTATGCAAGCATTTTATAAGATCCTGGGATGTCAGGCATACGCTGACTAAATTGGCAAGGTGAGACAGAGTCCTAACTAAGATCCTTCTCCCCTGATCATCTAGTTTAGATGGTTGGCCAGCTCTAGGAAGAGTCCTAATGGCTTCCAACTACCTACAGAAAATTAACTCGATGCTCAGTGTTTGAGCTGTAATATGCAATGTCAAAAGTGGGTCCTAATATAGACTAGGGGTGGAAAGGTTCACAAAATCCATGGTTCGGTTCGGTTCACGGTTTTGTGGTCACGGTTTTCTTCAACTTAGATACCACCAGTTAACCTCTGCTTGAGCCCGAAAATGGTACAGCACATCTGTTTCTTCTTTTAAGGCTCTTTGTGCTAGAAGACCATCTCCCTTTGTCCAATATAATAGGGTCATCTATTGAGTATGACTTTGATTTTGTTTCCATGCTCTGCAAACAGAGGATTTGTACTTATTCACAAAATCACCAAGTTACATGCTTTACAGAACTGCAGGCTTTTACTTTTAGAAGGCTATGGTAAAATCAATGTTGCCTGCCCTTTGAAACAATTCATAGCTGTGGAGTTTCTCAGAGGGCTTGAATAAGCCTCCTGCTCATGCCAGCAGAATATGGTTCTGCGGTAACAATTATTCAGCTGTCTACAGTACTTCAAGACCCTGATTTATTGAACAAGTTTTTTTATTAAAAAAAAAGATTCTATGGAAATAAATGTAATGAAAATGTATTTTCCTAACTGATTATTTAAGGCACAGTAGCTCATTATAAAGCAGCATGTTTATTCTGGCTTTCACACGTCACTGCTCTCTATTTATAAATTATGAAATGGGTAACATTACTTCTCAGTTCACCCCTTTTTCTGACTAAAATCTAAACCAGGCATTTTTAGCTCTGATTATCCAGCAAAGACAGGATGTTTCTAGTCAACCAGCATTAGTCTAATTTCAGTCCACATTCAGATAATTAAACATTCTGCTTTATTTTACCAGCAGCCATCTTCAGCCAGTATCAACCAAAATTAGAGATCAATCTTTTATCTTACTTTTGCACTGTTAATTACAATGAGCGGAATGGAAAATTTTTACATGTTAATTTGGCTAATAAAATGCATTCTAATTTTGATCCACTTAAATTTAAATTGCAGTCAGAGTGGTCTATGATTCTTAAAAGAAAATATTTTAATGAAACAGCTGTATGACAAAAAGTAGAGGTTATATAAAGATTACCTGTGTTCTGACTCATGGATTGAGAATATGACTCCTGATGTGGAGGACTTCTGTTGGATGGTGGCCAAGAAGGTGAATTCACTTTTACTCCGGAACAGTTGCACCACTTTTTCTGTAATGTGTGATGGGGCGTGAACTGCCCTCCCAGCATCTAAAGAAATAAAATAAAATGAAGGTTAAGCTTTTCTCACAGCTAGTCTTTCTCACTGTCTTCTCCGCTGTATATGGAAGGAAATGTGTCTAATTTTCTAGATAAATTGATTAACAGAAATGCTTATTTCATGGTATAAATAAAACAAGACTTTTAATTTGTAAAAATGTCCCACAAAAAACTGTCTAAAATTAATTTTGAAATGTCAGTTTTGAAAATTAAAATAAATTAACAAAAATGATTCTTCATTTTCAAGTCATTGCTGCATTTTTTTGACTCATACATAAAATTAGCAACAGATAACTCAAACTGCATTTTCTTCTTCAAGACTGCTCACTTTGTTACTAAATCCAAATGATTAACAAAATAACATTGAGCATTCAACTTGCAAAAGATGTCCCAAGCAAAAACTGACCAAAAGTCATTTTGGAAATGTCAAACATATTAACAGCAATACTCTCTTATTTGTCAGTCAAAGCTGCTTATTTTGACTCATACATAAAATTAGCAATAGATAAACCAAACACTATTTTCTGTTTCTTTTTCAGGGTCGAACATTTTGTGTATTAATCCAATGGTTAAAGAAAACAAAATTTGACATTAGATTTTCAAATGTTTTGCCAGAAAAAAATTAAAATTTATTGTCAGTAAATGTTTATTTACTGTCTGAAAAGCTGTACAAAACAAAATTTCCTTTTGTATACACTCTGTGTATACAAAAAGACAACAATACTTGTCTAAGTCTTAAGTCTAAGTCAACAATAAATTAATAGAAATGCCTCTTAATTTTAAAATGAAGGCTACTCTTTGTGACTCGTAAATGGCTAATAGATCATTCAAAATGTTTTTTCACTTTGTTGTTCAAGCCTATAAATGTGAACTAAAACAAATAATGAGAAAACTACAAGCAAATAGTTTTTTTTTTTTCTTTTTTATGCCTGGCTCCTTCATACCATCGCACAGTCCTTGTTAGAATTATCTCCCTCTGTAGAGTTAAATGTATTTCATAGTCAGACTTACATGATGGACTTAATACGATTTTAGCGAACTTTGCTTCATGCTATGCAGTCACAGATAGCAATGTCAATAAAGGAAGCACAACAGTACATGTTTAACTGTCTTTATTTCATATATTGAACAATAGAACATTGGATTGAAATGCTTTTTTAAATTTCACCTTACTTAAATAATTTTATAACCTCACACAAGCCCTTCCTAAAAAAAATTTAACAAAAAATAATTAAATTTAACTTAATAAGCCAATGCCTTAATGTAGCTCATTGCTCCAGAACTAAAAGTACATTTCTTGAATGAAAAATAAAAGAACTTTATACTAACTTAAAAAGTCATGTGTCTTGAATTCATTTCAAAAGCAGTACAATTTTGATATGTTAAACCTAAGCACATTGAGTTTATCAGATGATTTCAATTATATCATTACTAATCCAAAATCTGTACTCCCCACAGATGCTTCAAGGTTGATTTTGAATTCCTGGTATTTCTGGCACTTCAGAGGCAGCGCCAGGATTTTCATGCAGGTTTAGGCTACAGGCAGTGATTTCAAGGAAAACTTCTACAAATAGGTGCAGGTAGTAACACCCCAACATGTGCAAAACTTCATAAGTTGGTGTAATTCCTGAGAAGACCATAGAAAGACAGTCAGACGTATTGTAAAGTTATGATACTATACGTCATAACTTTTAAAAGTTTACCCAAATATCAGCCTTCTGCAGTTAAATAAAAAATCTTTACAAAAGGTAGGTCTTCCACCACTGTAGTTTAATAGATATTAAGTCAACAGAAATGATTATCAACTTTGCCAGATATACATTGTATAGATATATTTTTTTTTTAGCACATTCAAAATCTTATAATTTTGAATGAATTCTGGCACCTTCAGGGCTACCATTTTTATTTTCTTTATGCAAAGTTTGGCAACTTGAAGAGCTATCAATAGTTCCTACCTGGCTTGTTTCTGAGCTTCCTGATGAAGTTTCTTTGGCATACGACTCTGAATGTTCTTTTTTTTTCTTTGAATGTGAGCAGGAACATTTTGATCCATCAAAAAAGGACAAAAATAACCAACGATATTGTATAGGGCAAAAAAAAAAACTGTATCAACTGATATTTTAGGATTATAATATGTAAGATGTCATTAATTCAAAACATATACTGTACATGTATTTTTCACAGCAGCCAGTCTGGCTTTTCGATCTCAGAGAAGCCAAACATTTCTGTGCAATAGACGCATTCCACCATTGGTCCTTTGGTCTGAGAAGTGAAAGCTGCACTGGGAGGATTCTACTATTAATGACACACAATAATGACAAAAATATGGATTGACACTAATGAAGTATTTTTTACAACACAGCTAGGTGAATTTTATTAATACAACGTCTAGAGTGGCAGTTTCTGCTTGGGGATTTTCTGACTATTACTGTAAAGAGTCAAAACTTGCATTGTAAACAAATTTCTTTTTGGAGTCACCTTTTGTAGTTCACAGTTGCACCCACTCCAACTTATTTGTTGCACAGTAGCGTTGGAGTATAGAGATCCTGTGAACAGGCAATGATGTCTAAGGCCTTTGACCTTGTAGAACCCCAGCCCCCCAAGAGTTAAAAACTATCACAGTGCTCCAGTTGTGGAAAATATATCTGTAGGCGAGTGGAAAACTAATCTGCATCGCAGTATCTACTGTATCTGATGGTAATATCAACAGAATTATAACCAGTTTGGGGCAAAATATGAGCGGCAACATAACATTATGTATATATATACGTCCAAATAGTTTATGTAGCAAACAGGTCATTTATTAACGGGTTGATCAGCTGTTGAAACAAAGTATGGGGAATCACTTCAGAGGTGTTTACTAGGAAAAAACAAAAGCACGTTTAACTGTTAAACCAAGTAATTTAAAACCAACAGTAATTTAATTACACAATCTCATATTACAATTTGTAAAGATGGATTATCCTGGTGATGACACTGCACATAGTACGATAAACTGAATGGCAATATGAATTAGTATTTCAGGGAAAAGGGCTTTCCAAGAGTTGCACATAGTGGATCTCATCAATTAAACCTAATGTGGCTGTAGATCTGCACATTAAGGTGAATGCTGCTAAACACTTACTAGAATGTACAAGATGCATAATGGTGGAAGAGCAACAGTGTTGCCAATGAAGTCACTCTCCTGCACTTGGAACTGTGAATTCAAACTGATTTATGAAACACTTTTTGCAAAGACTGGCATTAAAACAAAAAAGCTATTTGCTTGTAGTTTTCTCTTTAGTTTTGGTTCATAATTAGCAGCCTTGAAGAAAATGAAAAGAAAGTTTGGATGGTCTATGAGCAATTTGATTTATGAGTCACAAATCTAACTTTGACTTTAAAATGAAAAAGCATTTCTCTTCATCCATTTTATTTTTTGACATTTAAACATTCATTTTGGTCAGTTTTTGCTGGGGCATCTTTTGCAAAATAAATGTTCAATAATATTTTATTAACCATTTGGGCTAAGTAACAAAATGAGCATTCTTTGAGAAGAAAATAAAAATGCATATTTGGTTATCTATAGCTAAATGTTTGTGTACCGGTAAGTCAAAAAATGCAGCTCTGACTGGAAGATGACAAGCATTTTTTGTTAATTTATTTTAATTTTCAAAACTGACATTTCAAAATGAATTTTGGCCATTTTTTGCTGGGACATTTTTATAAATTAAGAATATGTTGTTTTTTTATTAAAAAATTCACATTATTTAGAAAAAGAGCAGTCTAGAAAAATAAAATAAAAAAGCAGTTTGGTTGATTTATTTTAATTTATTGATAAGTCGAGAAAATTTGTTTGAAAATGAAGAAGCTGGTCTATTAATTCATTTTAATTTGAAAATTGGTACACACCTGCTTTCATATCTGGGTGCTCCTGTCAACAGTATGGGGAACATAATACTGATCTAATGAGGCAAAAAGTCGTATCGTCTGCTTCTGCACAGTACTTTCGCAATATAATACCACACTTACCTGACATAATGTAAAATATATAAATACTTGTGTGATTCTTCATGCAAAAACTTAAGAACGTGGTTATACAATTTTATGTATTACATCTATGATCTAATAATGATATAATAATAACACTAAGCTAAGGGAAATACCCATCCATGTTTTGACTAGAGTGAAATAAATATAAACCTGAACATCAATTCAAAATTCACTAAAATTAAAAGCAGTCTTTATTACACATAACCAAATTAAAACTTTTGGGCCAGGTATCCCCCCAAAAAAAAAAAAAAAAAAAATCAAAGTCAATTTTTTTCCAGGGCGAAAAAAGAATTTTACAAACCAGGGATCATAATTAGAAATTGACTGATACAGGTTTTTTTTATGGCTGTTGCCGATAACGATTTTTTTATATCAATCTAGCAGATCCCTGATATGTCCTGCCGTATTGCTTTCTCTCACATTACAAAAAAATATACAACAACAAATGTTATGGAAGTCCATTTTAAGCAAAAATAAACAACATTAACAAATCAAAGAAATCTGTTACAAAAGAAATCAAATTAAGTGTGTGCATTAAGTGCATTACATAATCTCAAGGCATTGGTGCTGAACACACTAATGAATCAGTAAACCCATGCAAGTATGGGCCGATACCAATGCAAGACAAAAAAACGAAAAACACTAATAATGGACAAAACTATCAGCCAGCCATGTATCAGTCTATCTCTAATTACAATTACGGTAACAGCCGGATAGAATTTGTATAAAAGAAACAAAAGGTAACTAAAAATACTGATGTCTTTCTATGTGTGATTTGTAATGAAAAGACATGTTTTCTGTGTCTAAATATAAAAGAGGAATAGATTTTTTTCACACTTTAAGTCCTGTTATATTTAAAGTGTCTATGTCACTTATAGTGCACTCCTATTGTGAGCACTGAATGTGTATTGGGATCAAAAGTGTTTAAATCAAAGCCTTCAACTTTATAATTATCAGTCTGAG